ACTCCCTCTTCTTCGCCCTCAGAAGATGTCTCCCTGATTTCCAGGCTGGTGCTTTGTCCTTTCTCAGGCCTCTGCTCTATGCCCAGCTCTAACCGAAGGTTTCCCCCTCCCACCGGTTCCCGAATAATCACTCTAAGGTTTAATATTAATTATAACTGCTTGGCCAATGACTTGGGCTTCGTACTGGCTAGTTCTACATATAAATTAACCAAATTCTAATAATCTGTGTATTGCCATGTGCCCCCTGGCATGCTCTGGCATCTTATTCCTGCTGCTGGCATCTCTCTGGACTCTGCCTTCTTTCTCCCTCTCTCTCTGGATTTCCTGCCTAGCTACATTCTGCCCTGCCATAGGCCAAAGTAGCTTCTTTTTAACCAATGGTAATAAAACATATTCACAGCACACAGAAGGGCGTCTCACATCACCTAGCTCTGTGGAGGAGGCAGATACAGATCATCCCGCCCTTCAGAAGGTTGCAGTTAGGAATAAGGACACAGATAAAGAATTGCGGGGACTGGAGAGATGGCTCAGCGGTTAAGAGCATTGCCTGCTCTTCCGAAGGTCCTGAGCTCGATTCCGGCAACCACATGGTGGCTCACAACCATCTGTAATGAGGTCTGGTGCCCTCTTCTAGCCTGCAGACATACACACAGACAGAATATTGTATACATAATAAATAAATAAATATTTTTAAAAAAAAAGAATTGCACTGTTTGATGGTGACGGGGAGTCCCCAAAGGAAGAGGAGAAGGGCCCTGATTCTCATTTGGGGAGTTCGGGGGAGGAAGGATTTTCTGAAAAAAGCCCTTTGAGCTGTGCCATGAAGGTCAAGGAGAAATGTGTTGGGTGAAGGTTTGGGGGAAAGGCATGCCAAGCAGAAGGGCACAGAGGTGTGAAATGTCACGACTCAGGAGGAGCTGAGGCTGAAGCTGGGGTGGTAAGGAGTGAGTCTGGAGGGAGGGCAAAGTGGACAGAAGGCTTGCCTGTAGTGGGGATGGCTTGGTTGGTGGCCACCTTCTGAGTTTGGGGACTCTACCCTCACCCACTCTTCAGTACTCCATGAGGTAAGAAACTTCATTATACTGACCTGACCCTCATCTCTACAGTTAGGGGAGTCCCAGTGTGCCATCCTTTTGTTCCAGGGCAGTGTAAAGACTCGATGTCTCCAGTTCTAACATCTCCGTGTGTGTTTGGGTGTTTTGTCTGCATTTTTGTGTATACCAATTGCATGCAGTTCCTATAAAGGCCAGAAGAGGACATTAGATACAAAGGAACTAGAGTTACAGCCAGTTGTGAGCATCATGTGGGTGCTAGGAATCAAACCTGTGTCCTCTGGAAAAGTGGCCAATGCTCATAACCACCGAGACATTTTTCTAACTACTGTGAGCCTTTCTGTTAAAGTGAGTTTTATTTATTAGATTTATTCACTTTACTTTGTATGTGAGTTTCGTGTGTGTGTGTGTGTGTGCACCATGTGTGTTCTTCATGCTCATAGAGGTCAGAGGAGGGCATCAGATCTCTTGCGATTGGACTTATGGATGTTTGTGAACCACTGTGCTGGGAATCGAACCCAGATCCTCTACAAAAGCAGTAAGTGCTCTTAGCCCCTGAGTCACCTCTCCAGCTCCAGGAAGCTTCTACTGACTGCCCTCTGCTCTTAACGAGCCCCCGCTTCTTGGATACTCATTGAGATTCGTGTTGTTTCTATCCGTCTGGTTAGCAGCAGCAGAGAAACCTTAAAAACCTGGCTAAAGCCTCAACTGTCTCACGATGCTCGCAACTCAGGGGTTGTTGCGTATAGACAGGGGCTGAGGGCTCGGGAGAGGCACTAGGAATTCCTTATTCGTGGGCATGTACAATGGAGGGAAGACACCGGGTGCCGCGCAGCTCAGGGCAGCTGGAAAGGCTCTGTGGGCACAGATCCTGGATGCTTCACACTTTCAAGTTACAAAGCCTGGTCTGCCCTACCTCGGAGCTAAGGAGAGGAGGGTGTGAGCCTGTTATCAACCGACCCAGGGCTTCTCAGAAATCCAGCTGTGTGCTGGGAACAGGAACAGTCTCCAGAGATGAACAGCTGGAGCCAATTGCTAGGGAACAGGAACAGTCTCCGGAGATGAACAGCTGGAGCCGATGGTGGAGAAAGAGGCAGCCCTGTCCTCGGGGAGGTTTACCAGCCAGTAAAAACTTACAGCCACGTAGCGGGAAGAAGCAAGCCTGGGATGACATGCCCATCATTCCGAGGTGTAAACAAGCCCACCACAGATGATTTCAAGCTGCCAGTGTGGCACTGGTGAACTGGAGTGGCAAGGCTGTCAGAACTGGCTCTTAAAAACCAGTACTGCCAGGCCCAGGGGCACACACCTTGGATCTCAGTAGTTGGGAGGCAGAGGCAGGTGGAGCTTTGTGAGTTCAAGGCCAGCCTGGTTTACATATCAAGACCCAGGATAGCCAGGGCTACATAGAGAAACCTTGTCCCAAACCAACCAAGCAACCAACCAACTCACCAACTAACTGACCAACCAGTACTGGCAAGCTCCAACACACCCTGGAGGGGCAGGGTTGCTGTTTACAGTGAAGAAGGGAGGTTTGAGGATGGGGATGGGCTTACAGGAGCCAGGGACCCTAATTTTGTCTATTTACAGAGTAGGAAGCTGGGTGCCAAGTACCAGGACATCTTGTTCTCCAAACAACCATCCATGGCAGTCAGTCAGGACGTCAGCACGGGAGTCAGGACGTCAGCAGGGAGTCAGGACGTCAGCACGGGAGTCAGGACATCCACCTTCTCTGAGGACGGAATTGCTGGACCTCAGGGGTGGCAGCTGCCGCTCGGGCCTCCGTCTTAGACCACTCCCAGATGAGCCTCTGGAGAGCAGCCTGATCCACGATGGTGACATCCCTGGTTCTGTGTGGATCCTGTTGTTGTCTCAGAAAGGTTCGTGGAGGCAGAAGACAACCTGTGTGGTAAAGAAGCTTCCAGGCCTAGAAATGAATTTCCCACAGCACAGAATCTCCATCTCTCACCAAGTCCAATGTACTTGTACCAATGTACTACAGCACATTAAACCCAATCATGTGACCTGGAGCCTTGAGTCAGATTGAGGGAGGAAAATCAAGGAGGAGCGTGAGAACAGGGACTGGGCAGGCAGAGCATGCTGGAAGAAGGCGCGAGACCCTAGGCTTGCACGGGTGCCCCGATGCTATGACTCAATGTATTAGCAGCATTCATGCGTGTGTGTGCATGCATGCATGCGTGCGTGTGTGTGTGTGTGTAAATTGCTCCATCATCATTGATAGCAATCTTGTGCAAGGAGTGATTGTCGTTATCAGGTCCCTGGGCCTGTGGCTTATAGTGCAAGTAGTTCAACTCTCAGTCTTCTGGACTGACAGCAGCTTACAGAGGTGAGGGCTGACATTCAGAGGGGGACCCTGAGCTCACTTGGTGGGAACTCTGCCACTCTCTGACCTGGCCACTTGCTGTTCACCGTTCAGGAGAAATGCTTTGGAAGCACACTTGGGCGTGTATAGGTGTGTATGTTCTATGTATGCTTGCACCTGTACACACGCATGCTCACACATATGCATCTCTGTGTTTCTGGATCTCCTAGTATTTCCACACTCACTTAGGGAAGGCACTGGACAGAGGGCCAAGGTGGTGGGGACCTGGGAAGTTGAGGAAGGTGTCTCCCCATGAAGGCCCCAGGTGTGCCTAGAGGAATTCCGTAGCATTCTCTTTTCCTCTGATTCCTAAGACTGCCACCGTTAGAAATGGAGATAAATTCATCTCTGCCCTTGTCCCTTTGGAGCCTCTTCTACACACAGAGGGAGTTTAATAAATACTTTATGAGGAGGATTCTGAACCAGGGAAGCCAGCAGCTGTTTCCAGCTCTGACTCTCAGAGACCCATGGGGCAGATCAGACATGGAGCCACCAGGATCTCCAATCTTCCTTCCAGACCCTGAGATGACTCCAGGCCCAGCTGTTCAGGAAGAAGCTGGGTGCAGGTTATTCCACACATCCTGCTTAGGGGAAGTTGGCTCTTCCTTGACGGGTTCTCTTGGCTCTTTCCTATCCGTCATGTGAACACTACTTAGTGAACGACCACATTGTGCTGACCATCACAGGAGAGGGGTATTCTGGGTACCAGCACATGGGGTCTATGTTCAAATCCCAGTGCCTTTACTTAAAGAGGCATTTCTTATCTGTGCCTGAGTGGGTTTCTTTTCGTTTCTCTCTCTCTCTCTCTCTCTCTCTCTCTCTCTCTCTCTCTCTTTTTCTCTTCTTTTATTTCTTTTTTAGAACGATGACGTCATTTCATAGGGTTGATGCGAGGTTTGGAAATAACAGGCTCGTGCACTCAGCGCAGGTGCTCCGGCCGTGGTAGGTGAGCTTCTCCCTGCCAGGAGGAGAGGGTCCCTTCCACTCCTGGCAGTTCTTACTCAACGCCTCTGTGTGTTAATTTTCTTCTTCGGAGAACGAGAGCAGAGTTCTGCTCCGCTGGGGTTTGGGAAGGTGTACCTGGAATCCTATGTGTCAAACAACCTGTCACAGACGCTGGCCATTAATCAACGTTTGTTCTCCGTTCCCGGTCTCCCCCAGCATGATGACAGCTTCCTCTTTAGGATGCCCTCTGCCACTTCTTTCCACTGCCCCAGCGCCAGCGTCCAGCCCCGATCGGGGTAGGGGTGGGGGTTCAGGGTCCTTAGCCATACCTCCCTGAGGAAACAGGGCAACTGCTCGGCTAGGGGTTGGGGTATGGAGGGGTTGGGGGTTGGGGGTCTTGGAACAAAAACTACAGTTCCCAGCCCTCGTTGCGCTGCCACCCGGCGGGGAGCGGAGGATGGCAGGCCCCTTCTAGGAGGCGGAGCCTGGGAGGGAGGCGGAGTTAGGAGGGTTGGAGAGTTAAGCGAAGCCAATGAAACCGCTGGCTAATAAGTGGGCTTGGCTTGCCATATAACCGTGTCAGGAGGAGGGGAGCGCAGCTATTGAGCCAGCGAGGAGTGAAGCTGAGTCTGCCTCATACACTCCTAGAGGACCGCCTCCAGAATAGAGTTCTTTTCGCCCCTTCCTCCTTCTCCCAGCTCCTCTCCTGGCCTTTCTACCCGCCCAATACAATGCACACCCGAGTGGCAGCCCCAGAGAACTGAAGCAAACCAAAGACAGAGGACTGGAGCGAAGACACTTCTGGTGGGGAAGCTTGGATGCCTGGCTTTCTTTGAGGTCATCTTTGGAACAAGGGTGGCTTTGGGGTGGAGGGTCGTGCTGCAGGGAACCCAGCCAGGCCCCAAAATGGACACTTCTGGGCACTTCCATGACTCGGGGGTGGGGGACCTGGATGAAGACCCCAAGTGTCCCTGTCCATCCTCTGGGGATGAGCAACAGCAGCAACAGCAACCGCCACCACCGCCAGCGCCACCAGCAGTCCCCCAACAGCCTCCAGGACCCTTGCTGCAGCCTCAGCTTCCGCAGCTTCAGCAGCAGCAGCAGCCGCAGCAGCAGCAGCAGCCGCAGCAGCAGCAGCAGCCGCAGCAGCAGCAGCAGCAGCAGCAGCAGGCTCCACTGCATCCCCTGCCTCAGCTTGCCCAACTCCAGAGCCAGCTTGTCCATCCTGGTCTGCTGCACTCCTCTCCCTCGGCTTTCAGGGCTCCTACTTCGGCCAACTCCACTGCCATCCTCCACCCTTCCTCCAGGCAAGGCAGCCAGCTAAATCTCAATGACCACTTGCTTGGCCACTCTCCAAGTTCCACAGCCACAAGTGGGCCTGGTGGAGGCAGCCGGCACCGGCAGGCCAGCCCCCTGGTGCACCGGCGGGACAGCAATCCCTTCACGGAGATAGCTATGAGCTCCTGCAAATACAGCGGTGGGGTCATGAAGCCCCTCAGTCGCCTCAGCGCCTCTCGCAGAAACCTTATCGAGGCCGAGCCTGAGGGCCAACCCCTCCAGCTCTTCGGTCCCAGCAACCCCCCAGAGATTGTCATCTCCTCCAGGGAGGATAACCATGCCCACCAGACTCTACTCCATCACCCCAACGCTACCCACAACCACCAGCATGCTGGCACCACTGCCGGCAGCACCACCTTCCCCAAAGCTAACAAGCGGAAAAACCAAAACATTGGCTATAAGCTGGGACACAGGAGGGCCCTGTTTGAAAAGAGAAAGCGACTGAGTGACTATGCTCTGATTTTTGGGATGTTTGGAATTGTTGTTATGGTGATAGAGACCGAACTGTCTTGGGGTTTGTACTCAAAGGTAGGGGCTGTGGTTTCTCTTTATACCTTCAACAAAAGGAGTATGTAGAGGAGAGAGAGAGAGAGAGAGAGAGAGAGAGAGAGAGAGAGAGAGAGAGAGAGAGAGAGAGAGAAAGAGAGAGAGAGAGAGAGAGGTTTCCTTTGCTTAGTTACAGGGAACACCCTAACTTCCTGTGGTTTTCCTCCTTGGTCCTCTGAGAATCCCTTCTCTGCTCCCTTTGTAGGGACAGCCCATACACTGTGTCTGATTTGTGCTCCCTTTGTAGGGAGCATTACAGAATCCCTTCTGAGAATCGCTCCTTTCCCCTGCAGGCTCACTCGTACTAAAGCATAACCCAGCAGCTTAACGCACCAATTAATTACCCTCTGCCTTCCCTCCTTTCCTCCCCTCCCTGCTCCACTCCATTTTCCCCGGGATAAAAAAGAAATAAATGTCTGGCTGGGGGTAGGGATTCTGTACCATTCCCCAAGCACCCCCCCCCCCTTTCCAAGTTTCTATACTCCTTCCCAGGGAGACTCCAGGGCGAGTCTCTCCCAGGGGCACCAGGTTAAAAATACAGGGGGAGGAAATCAGCAGTCCCTTCCTTCAGGAAAGAGGACTCAGAATAAACCTGCCACTGCCTTGTAAACACGCCCTGATAAAAATGGCTACAGGTGTTATCCAGGCAGAGCAGATGGGCACCGCCTTGGCATTACGGGGAGAGCGCCTCTCCTTAGGAGATGACAGGGCTTTCCCGCGGGAGCCAGGGCCCCCCGGCTCAGCCCTGGCTCTTCCCTCCCACCCCAACTCCTTCTCCTTGGGATAAATAAAGATGAGTGTACGTGAGAGTTCACGCTGGATGGATAGTGGCAGGCACTGTCTTGTGTGTGGGGCTCCACTGCCCCAGCCTTTCGGTCGGAGGAAAAGAGCTCCTTCCAGAGGGCAAGGAGGTTGAGGAAGGTGGGTTTCTATTGATGTTGTACTTGCCAGGAAGCTGCTGTCTGGAGGGCTTGGAGATGCAGGGAATTGTTGGACAAGTGGTTCCCCCCACTGTACCCTCTGGCCCCAGTTTGTTGGTGTTTGCATTTGTGTGAATACGTGTGTCTCTGTGCACTTGTGTGAGTGCCTGCTTGCTGTGTGGATTCCTGTCATTTTGGACACGGGCTGGCTGGGCTTGCTGGGCTGGCTGGTGGGGAGTTGGGAGGGGCTCAGCTGTTGGAGGTTTCAAATAGAGCCTGTTTCAGGCAGAGCACAGCTGCTGGAGACTGTCACATTCCTTCTTGAGATCTAGTCACAAAAACCTGGGAGTCGCTGATCAGATTTCCCCCATTCCCAGAGTCTGACTTGAACCCGGGATGGGCAGTGCTCCTTGTCAGGCAACCGGCATGGGCAGAGTCCTCCAGGGACCTGCTGCTCTGCAGGGGCTGCTCGAACCAGAGCACTTGGGAGCGGCTTTAGTCTAAATAGCTCATGGATGAACAGACCTCTCCACGAGCAGAGAGTGGGGTTTCCCCTGGAAGCCCAGCTCACTTAGTCATTCCCTGTAATGAGAGCCTGCAGTCCCTCTGCCCCTGCCTTCTCAGAACCGCCTCTCCTGCTGCGTGCTCTGCCTGGGAGATGGCTGGCAACCACCCCTGGGAATCGGGAGCCCTTGCTAGGGGAAACCCATGGAAGCCCATATCCCGGGGGTGTGGGGTGGCACCGCATGTTTAGTGTTCCCCAGGGTGGCTCTTAACAGACCAGCTTTCCCTAAGAGTAGATGCTCTGAGCATGGGATCCATGGTCATTTGTCTGGATGTGTTGGGAGGGTGGCCACCAGGCAGGGATGAGCTAGCTTTTCTGATGGAGTACTCAAGGGAAGAGGCTTTCCCAGGAAGGGAAGCGAGAAGTGAAGGCAGGGTGAGGTGACCTCAGGGGTGTGCTTCCCCCACTTCGAAGACAGGCTTCTCTGTGCTGATGGCACCCCGGGGGACAGTGGGTCAGAAGCTCCTGCTTACCTCAGCTGGTGAGGTGGCCACTTCCTGTGTACTTTGGGTACAGAATTGGAACAACAGAATGTTTAACAAGGCAACTATCCCTGTCTGCCATGGAGGCAAACAGGATCATATCGAAGAATGGGACCAAAGCTGGAGTTCCAGCTAGGCCACTGTTGTGTGACAAGTCACGTGCAAGTCCCTTCCAGCTTCCAGGTGGGGATAGTGAGTCAGATGAGCTCGAGGCCCTCCATAGCTCCTTGCGATGACCAAGGAGAGAGATACTGTCTTCCTCTGTAGTCTAACTCTGCCTCTGGAGTTAGGAGAAAAGTTCCGTAAAGCATCTGGGTCTGATTGGAGACCATCTTCAAACATGAGGCAGCTGTTGGGGAGAGGTGTCAGTCTTGGGGGTGGGTGGGGGATGGGCTTTGGGGACAGAAGAGCTCAGAGAGGGTCAGGACAGATGAGTGACTCTCCTTGGCTGGAGGTCTTGCGTGCTTGCCTGGCTCTGATGGTTCTGGAAGCTAAGACCAGACCAGGTACCCTGTCATTTCAGGTGATCCTGCATCTATGGTGGCTGTTTCTGCTTAAATGGCTGATGGTCTGTAACCTGTGCCTTAGCCAGCCTCGAAGTTCTCTGTTTTATCTCACAAGGTTACACCTTTCTATTCACCTGTCCTTGGCTGCTGTCTGCTGCTGGGGGAGTAATGCATCACGCAGGCCCCGGGTGGCTGGGAGAAGAGCAATGAGGCAGATACCTGAGCGTGCTCAGAGTTGTTGCAGCAAGGAGCCAGTGTGAGGAGGTTGAGAAATGGGGACAAAGTGCTTCCCAGCTCCCACCCTCACAGGCTGTAGGCGATGGCACTGGAAAGAGGGGAGGTTCCACTGAGAACGGGAGGTGGAAACCTAAGCAGGGAGGGGGCTGCCTCCCAGGCCCTCAGAGGTACTAGGCTGTCTCTGAACTGAATGAGACTCTAGTTTGTTCCTGCTTGCCTTCCTTCTCCCCCATCTCCCCACCCTTCTCTGTTCCTCCTGCCGCGCAGGGTTAGGGCAATGGGGATTTAGGTGCTTTTCTCACCGTGTTCTCTATTTTCTTCTGGAGCTGGGTTGGCCCACACAGCCCTGTTGCCTTGAGTGGACAGTAATTCTCTCTCTACTGGGAGAGCCTGGCCTGCTCTTCCTCCTCTACAGCCTGACAGAGCATCAGGCCTTGGCCTGTAGCTGCTTGAGCAGCTGTCTGTTTCCATGGATTTTGCACAGTCTCCAACAGCTTCCCCATCCCCGGCCTCGGGATCCGCCTGAGCTTCGTCTCTGCCCCTTGTCCCTCTTGCTCGACTTCTTTTCTTTCTGCTCCTTCTGATACCCCTGCCTGTCCAGTCACTAGGAAGCAGATACAGGAACCCCTGTCTGCTGCCCTGGTGCCCTTTCTCACTTCTTTTTACTTTTCCTTCTTTGGACCAATCAGTGAGCTGCCACCCAAGGCTACTAGTTCTGCTGGGCACCTTGAAGAGGTCTCTAATGAATACTCTTCAGAGAATGGTGGTGACTAGGCCTATCTCTTTTCTGGCCTCACAGAGAACAGAGAAGCCCCTCCAGCCTTCAGCTGGAGTGACTGATAGTATTCTAGGATTTATTTTTGGGCCTTGTAGGGTGTGTGTGGGGAGGTGGTAGCCACAGCTTCACACTGTAGGTAACACTCTACTGAGCACATCCCCGACACCCCGAGAACCTCAGTTCTGATCCTCTGCCCTCCTGGGAAGAGAGGTCCTAGCTGCAGAAGGGCAGAGAGTACCAGACTTCACAGGACGGACAGCCCTGCCTTTTCCTTTCAGGCCCAAGTGCTACTTGAGGTTAGGCAAGTGGTCACTGGACCATGGGTTCTGGTGGATTTAGGGGTACAAGTAACTGTGATTTCAGGCATGCTGGGGTGATAGGAATAGGGCAGACCCTTGGGTGAACCCCCTGCAGGATGCCCGCCTCCCTCCCTCCCCGAATGTGAAGGCAGGAGACTTGATTTGAAAAGGGGGACTTTGGCTGTAGGCAGGACCCTGAGAGCCAGTAGCCAAGGGCCTCAGGTCTGTATTTTATTGTCGCAGGGCATACTGGCAGTGCCAGCCCAGGGGAGGGCAAGCGGATCCGAAAGCGTGAAGCAGCCACAACCCTGCCCCCATGGTGACCATTTGTTTATATTCTTTGTGGACAGTGAGCAAAGAAGTCAAACCTTTGTAACCTATACGGCTACTGCTAAGATGTCATACGCTTTCCCTTGCATGTCACCCCACTATTTATAACTGTCCTGGGGACAGACTTCCCTTCCCAACAGGCGGTATCATGAGTCCGGGCACTGAGACAATGGCTGGGCATTTGTCTCCTGAATAAGCTAATTAGAAAGCCACTCCATGGCCCTTTACTTCCTTATTCAGCTTCCAGGAAGGAGGATGTATGAGGACATCCTCAAAAGATCCTCTTTAAAAAATTAGGTAGAGAAAAACAACAAAATTTGAGTAACCTGTCTTGTGATTCTGCGGCTCCAGTGGATATGTGAAATCAGAGCAGAGAGCTTAGGTACCGGGCCAGTTATTTATGAAACACAGTGAGGGAAAAATGAGGTGTGTGTGTGTGTGTGTGTGTGTGTGTGTGCGCGCGCGCGCGTGTGCGCGTGTGGTTGTGAGGGCGGCTATATATTGATACAGTATTCCCTTTCTTTGCTCAGTGGCAGGAGGACACTAGAGCATTTGTTGGTAGTTGTTTTTCTTTCAGAACCCCAAAGAGAGAGAGAGAGAAAGCAGAAAGCCTTCAATTCCTCTTTAAATCATGAGGGTGGGAAATTCTAAGACTGCGCTGTTCTCAGGAGCCGTGGGGAGGAAAATTCTAGTGCCTTTTCTTGTGCGGGAAGTCCGGAGGAGGCTAATGGGTTTTCAAGGCCCCCTCCCCTTGTCATTCCACCCCCAGATGCTCGGGAGTCAGGGGAGGCTGGGGGCAGGGACCACACTGTTTCTGCCCCACACTGCTCCTGCGTGAATCGTTGCTGAGTGACAGGCGAGGGAA